TAAAAACGTGATTTATGTGTCCGCACACGATCAAAGAGGAGGGCTCTGTAGGGTGGAGTTCAAAGAACACAAGATTGAGAAGATTGCTAGTAATGGTGGTTCGATCTGTAACAGGGTGCATAGTTTAACCAACTACAATGATCATGCAATAGCATTCAGTGACACTGGAGATTGCAAGGTCAAGGTCATTAATCCTGCCACAAAGGAATGTTTCGTGCTGGTTGGTAACGGACAGGGCACAAGGGATGGAAGCAAGGCACAGCTCTCTCAGCCAACAGGAATATGTTTTGACATGAAAACGTTGTTTACTGTGGACACATCGACAGGCGCACTCCGGATGACGAGCAATGTCAACAGTTTAGTGGAGTATTTGAAGTACCTACATTTGTTCGGAGAGACATTTGGACCTCACCTTAAAAAGGAAGCTCCTCTCGCCATCGAGATGACGCCAGCAATAGAGAGACTAGAGTTAGTTTATCGATTTGACCAAGAGTGCGTCGACAATGTCAAGCTTGTAACAGGCACGCATGGTGAAACACAGGGCCCTCAAGGAACTGTTTCTTCAGATGTCATTGAAGACGAGAGACGATTACTTAAGTCACTACTTGAAATTAAGGTCCTTTTGGACCGGTTTAGTCCTGGGTTGAGTGCTAGATTTAACATAAATAGCATTTTGACCCTGGTTGTGGAAAACACGTTTTCTGAGATGAGAACGGGTGCCAGCGACATGCCGTTGCAGCTTGAATTTGACTACAGGTTCAGTAGAGCGATCAAAGAACGCTTAAAACGACGGTGCTCTACACCATATTCATACTTTACTAGCTCTAGTTCATACTACCCACACACCTTTGTATCTGCATGCTACTCTGACCATCCGAAATTACGTCCCCCAAAGACAAACAAGCTAACTAGTCAACAAGTTCGCGAGATGAGGAATTGGAGAGCTGTCCACGGTCAGAGTGTTCCCCAAAAAACGGTGCGCAATATGACGACCAAAGACAACCCAGGAACTCTCCCGATTAATCTATATGAGGTGGGCCCACCAGATGTCCAGGCACTTGATTTAACCAAATTAGGAGACCACCATTCAGTGCAACAAATGCCACAGAAAGAAGTGACAGAGTTTCTGTACACGTCTAATCAGATAGTCTGTGTTAAGCATGACAAAGGGTGCCCTGAAAACACCTTGGTTCTCGCCTGCCTACAGGAGAATGTTAAAGTTGGCATAAAAAAAGTGATGGCCAAAATTTTTGTTCAAGATCCTTTTAACCCAATATGCTTTTCGGAAAATTCAGAGAAATACATTGAGGTAGATAGCATTATTTGTATCTTGACGACCTGGGGATCAAGGGAACATGCAACAGAATTTCTGGGAACAGGGGAACTTGATGAAAGTGAATTTCAGGGAACATCTTAATTTATTTTGGGGAACAAGGGAAAAACTCCAATTTTTTCTAGGGAACAAGGGAACATATACACCCCCCTGGGAGGCCCTCTTCAGTGGTAGATAAAAAGAACAAAGTTAATGAGCAAAATTTCGATGGTGAGGCTAACTGGTCGGGTGTTGTAAACTTTCATTGTATGCAAATGAGTCTTCTGATGAGCATGCGGTTTATTTTCAACGATGATTGAAAAGTACTGAAATATGCTGAAGAATACTCGACCGTCCATAAAGTAGGAATTGAAAAACTTTTAGCGAGGAAATCCTGTTTCGTGTAGAATTAATCCCCTCTTAGACTGCCAGCAGTCTCTTATTTTTCTTTTGAGCCACAGTAGGTCGAGAGCATAATTCTACTTTTTTGCTCGCCGCGCGTGGCTCTGAGGAAAGAAGGACGAACGCGCGCGGTCTAATCGCCTCCTCATTTCTTATCTTATCTCTAAGAAAGCGAGACTCAACGCTACTAAGAGAGTTCTTGTTTGTTAAAGACTACGCGACAATGGCTATGGTCATATTTCGAGTTTCGGTCATCTAATCTTTCTGGGATGCTCGTCGGGAAAATTGGATGAGAACGATCTGGTCAAGGCTTGAGTTTTATTTGACACCTAAAAGATACCATTCTTAATCACACAGCCAAATTATAAGTTCTAGTAATGTCTCTCTAGATACATATTAGAGATCCCGTTTCCGGCAGATAGAGATTTTTTGTCACGGACTTCTTTCTTCGGATGGACTTCTTCGTTTATTTCAAACATCCATTCTACACTTGGAATGTTATTTTGTAGTTCACAACACTAATAAAACGTGTGGTTTTAAAAAATGAGTTTGTTTAGGGGTTTTATTTTGCTTTTTAACTGTTGGTTGCGTAAAACTCTATTTTGTAATAGACTTGCACGCGCGGAGTGAGACGTGTATAAATCAAAACTTTGTGTTATGTACTGTATCACACGACAGCGATATTGAATCTTGATTTATTTTATCCCAAGATGGGCAGGGTATTTCATGATAGCATACATGACACTTTGCACTTGGCAAGATGAAGTTTCTTTTTCTTTGTTTACTTAAAAGTATTTAATATTTAGTAGAATTACACTTTAAGCTAGACGTTCATTACTTACAGATACATTCTGAAATCAGATTTATACTTGACAACGTGAAATTTCCGATCATTTTTGAAAAATGAATTTGCATGCCAGGCGAACTTCCTTATTTATAAATAACAATTTTACTACTGGCTTGCCAAACCTCCGATTATGTCAATACTTGTTGTTGTCGTTTTTTTAAAAAAAATGACATCAATATCTTAAAAGATCTTGCCTCATCATCTTAAAAGATGTCCTGTTTATAAATTTAGAGGCACTAATATGTAATATTTTTTTGGCATTCATATTTATAAATATCTATACATGAAAGAAATAATGACTTACATGTCACCCATATCAAAAAATCTGTCCGATATATAAATATTAATAGCGATTTACACATGACACTTTAGGAATAGTTTTTTCTTGTTTATGAACAAATCTTCCAGCTATTTATAGACTCTTTATAAATAACGGAAAAGCTGTAAGGCTGAATTTGGTCCAAATTTTATTGAAAATAATTAGAATATCTTATTCACAATATAAACTTACTCTACTAATTAAGCAAAAAATTGCTCCCTTGCCTCATCCGTTTCAATTTTGTTTATATGTTTAATTTAACTTAGCAAAATGATAATAAAACAAAAATAAATAGGACTAAAAAAGTCTGAAAAAGTCGATGCGAAATGCCAGACTGGCGAAGGTGACATTAGTTATGACGTCAATACCCTTGTAACGTGTTTTACAATGTTTGCTTACATTCGCGCTCGTTTCCGCTTCGCGCTGATTAGCGAAAATTTGACAGCTCAATCGACCGCAGTTGGAGATTGAATTCAAATTCCGGAGACGTAGTTGCAAGCTCTCCTTCCTTTTCCCGCCCCGCCGCCAACGCACAAAGGAGAGCTTGCTCGCAGGCGCTATAAAACATGATGAGGGAAAAACTATTCCAAAGCTTACGGCGTTTAAGGTTAAAAATATTGTAGGCTGCTACAGCAAATTTCCATTTTTGCTTCAAATTACAATTCGCCTCTCTATAACTAAATGAACTTGTGATTAATCGAGCTGCATAGTTGGAATCTTAGCAAATGCTTATAACGGTACGGTAAAACAGGCAACTAGAAACGTGCAAATTGTTTTACAAAACTTGCTGCACAACGAGTTGAATAGCGACGTACAGTCAGCTCTCTCTAAGACGAACACCTTCGGGGACGGTTCCGACTGTCCGTCTTAGACAGGTGTCCGGCTTATAGGGGACATCAGCAAAATCTTAAGCTGAACCCATTCGCAATGTATATACGTCTGTTTAACTTATCGGCAAAACAGCTAAAACTGGAACATTGTAACAGAAGAGTGGAATCATTTTCGTATTAAGCAATCAAACATTCATTACAAGCGAACGTTAATTACGGCTTCTTGGTCTACAAGCTTAAAAGTACACACTCTGCGAACTGGAATTCGATTCATTATGGCGTTGTGAGGCATAAGGTGGCTTGATATAGTTTTTCAAGGTCAATACCTCCCAAGTTTGAGCGTAAACTACGTCGCCATAAGGGCGAGGGCGGAGGTATTCACTCAAAAAAACTGTATCGAGCCACCTTAATTGAAAGCCAGTAAATGCAAAACGTATTTTGACCAGCGCTGCTATAGCCTTTTTCGAAGCGCTTTTCTGTTCTTTTTGTAAGCCCCTCGATATATGAGCCCTTAAACCCCCTTAGGAAGATGAATAAAGCCAGGGCTATAATCAGAGCGACAGTTTACGGTAGCTTATCTTTTAAATAACAAAGAGCAATCCTTAGACGGTGTTTTTGAATTCAGGTAGCAGAGAAAGCTTTTCCTGTTTGATTAACCTTTTTCTGGTCAGAGCTTGATACGATGCTCTCTTTTTAAAACTGACCACAGAAATTTCAGGGGCACCAAACGACCGAATGTCTCCAAATACGTCAAAAGTGTCTCAAATCGTTTTTTTTGAATGCTTTAGAAGCCTGTTTGGTTAATGTAAGGCTGCAGTAAAACCTATTTATCTGTTCGGATGTCTTAGAGAAGGTTTGGTCGTATCGGTGGCTTTTTATCTCATTCGGCGAAACTGTTAGCTACCCCGATGGGTCTGGTCCGGAAAGTTCGAGGAGATGGAATCAGCTGTACTTTCATTAGAAGATTTTGGGAGACGCTTTTTCTTTTTAACGAAATTTTAAGGAGATCTTTTTAAACAATAACCGCAATATCTTGCAAATAGAAAAAACACAACACATACTTTAAAGAAACTGAAAATAGCGCGGACACCTCAGTGATGAAACAGTTATAGAGTCATTCGTTACGCAGGAAGAGTTTTTCGCCTCGCAGGCTTCTGTTCATAGTTCGAAAATAGACTGCAGCTGATCGTAATAATCCCATGTTTGACCGAAGTGTCACGCGTTTGAAACTGAAAAATAACCAAGATATCAGATATATAAGCCAGCTCAAATCTCACTGGCCAAACGAAGGTACAGCTCAGTTTAATACGCTTATTTTGAGATATTGTGAAGAATTTGTTGTTCACCAATATTCATCCACCGTGATTAATCAGCATGAGCATAATAACATCCACCATCAGCAGCATCATTGACTCGGAGCTCTTCAAAAAATTACGTCAGCCCTTGATGTATTGCTCCATGGTAGCCTTGACGATGGGTGTCCAGGAGATTTGCCAGCAAGTTGTATTTAATTGTCCATGCAAAAGACACTTCGAGTATGGGCTGGCATTTTTATGCGGACCAGCCATTCTTTTGTTTTTCCTAGGCATTTTCTTGGATGACACTCTATGCCGTACTGGCCCTGAAAGGGACACCGAGAAAGCCAGGACAAGCCCTGTATGTCACTATTTCAAGTTACTGTTCACTATATTCTATGCAATGACACTAGCAAGCGTCGCTCCAGTTGCCTGGTTGGTTCTATCTTTCTTGCAACAAAAGTACTACACCTGCGCATACTTTGGACCTCCCGTCGACAGAATTTCAACTGCTACAAATGCAACTGACAGATGCCATTTTAAGCTGGGCTTTCGATCAAAAGAGATGGAAGAAACCTACAAAACCAACAGTCAGATTGCAGGCTGGTCACTCATGATCATATTCGTGCTCGTCCTTGTCATTTCCATCTACATACGTCAATGTATGAAAAAAGGAAAGCGTCTGAAAATACCGGGTCCTAAACACTACCACCGTGTTGAAGCCCAAGAAGCTGTTGAGCAGTACCACGCCATTGCACTGGAACGCGTCAAAGAACAAGCAAAGATGGTTATTGAAAATTTTTTCCCAGAAATGGAGAGGCATACAGATGTCTATTCCTATTTGGAAGGCGTTGGAGATAAAGTTCGCAATAAATACTATAAGTATTTAGGCATACCACCGAACGAGCAACAGAGTACCCCAGATGATCTAACAGAGGAAGATGGACAAACAGAAACAACCGTTTAAATGCAGCCCTTCTGCAGTGGTGAAGATCTGCCACTAATATCACCTGCCCGAACTGATCCATTGGAGAACCCTGGTGAAGTACCATCGATAATTTAAAGATAGAAGATAAGTTGTCAAGATTCTATTGACATGAGCTGAAAGTATTTGTACGATAAAGCTCAATACATATTTCAAGGATATTTCGTAAATTCATGAGCTAATACGTAATAGGGTCTTGGTAAATTTGATTACTTGACGTAAAGCTTAATTTTTTTGCTTCAACGCGTATATTTCAATATTTAAAAATATATCTTTCTAACATTTACTTTTGTGATGGAGAATATATTTGTAATATATTTAATATGCTAATTTTGTATTTCACTCGCAGTTGAAAATTAGCTCGGAGAGTTCGAAATGTCCCGAGTGACTTTTTAGCATTAACGTTAATCTCGAAATGTATATCCAAAAAATTTCTCAAGATATTTATTTCGTTAATTTTAGATTTTACTAGTTTCTAGGATTCAATGAGGCGCAAAACATATTATTACTTCTGACATAATGTAATATATTTATGCTAATTTTGTATTTCACTCGCAGTTAAAAATGAACTCGGAGAGTTCGAAATGTCCCGAGTGACTTTTTAGTGTTAACTTTAATCACGAAATGTATATCCAAAAAATTCCTCAAGACGTTTATTTCGTCAACTTCAAATTTTACTCGTTTCTAGGATTCAGTGAGGCGCAAAACATGTTATCACTTCTGACATGATGACATGCATTCTTGACTGGTTGTTACGTTATTTAGGGCCCACTGAGACAAAATTTGGACATTGGCCTGTAAGTGCGGTGATTGGTTGGTTTAGTTTGTGACGGGAAAACAAGCGAAGTGCCGTCCTGAACTTGTTGCAAGGCAACGTTAAAACACCGGAAGTCGAAATATGGTCAGGTCCAGGCCCTCCTGTCGTCAAATGACGTTCCTGTCTGTTGTTAAATGACTCTATTCAGTCGCTTGAGGATAACGCGTTTTTAATGAAAAACATACATTTGGCTCATAATATTTAATTTTATGATGATATTTATTTAAATGTGAAAAACTGTAAGCATAGATTTTTCCGTTTCAATAAAACCTTAAGAATCGAAAATAAAATATGGGGGTTTCACTGACCACAAGATTGTAGTTTTCCGGTTCCTCGTTATTCGCAAAAAAAAAAAAAACATGCTCATTTTTCTTTAAAAAGCCGTGTTTTTCGAGTGATTCATAAAAATAGCCCCTGCACTTCAGTGTTCTTGCTGAGGAAAAGTCTACTTCCGGCCCAAATATACTTCCTAAAACGTCTTAAAGCTAGCGTTTCTTAAAAACGCACACTTTCTGGCCCAGAAAAATTGTGTTAAGTAAAATTTTTTTCTATAATTTCGGGTGCTCACAGGCTCGCTCGAAAAGTCTTAAGAAGAGTTTTCGTTATAACGTATAATTTTTGCTGACTGAGAATGAAAACAGGATGAAATTTATTGCTGGCGAGCCTTTCAGTCCGGTGAAAAATTAGCGATAAAGATGCAAACGCCTCAGAGATGTTCCCCTATTTCGCCCCATGAAAGGGAATCCGGATTCTGGAATCCGGAATCCCGAATTTTTTTTTGTTGAATCCGGAATCCTGGGCTTTGGAATCCGGAGTACAGCTCAAGGGATCCGGAATCCACTAACGATTGGGATCCGGAATCCAAGTTGTACCGGCAAATAATCCGGAATCAGGGGCCCATAACCAGGTGTGAGCAACTCCCGTACTAGGCGTATGTCACGGCGTTTTTACGGACCAGTTTATTTTATTTTAGACACATTTTAGGGCATTTTTTCCCGGCGAAAATGAAACTCCACCATACACGTTTATGAGCACATTCCCGTGTGTGTTCGTGTATATTATACACGGGTATTAAAAAGTAAATACCCTGATGAATACTCGACCGTCGATAAAGTAGGATGTGAAAAAATATCATAGCGGAGGAACCCTGTTTTGTGGTGTATTGTTACGTTTCTCAAAATACTGATGCAATTACTGGAACTCTACGCTTAAACAGATTCGATTTTGCAGATTCACTTTGTTGTATGCAATAATTGATAGATTTTTGTGAAGTCGCGTTGCACTTTCTAAATACTTGAGACATCAATGATTTAACCTTCAACAACTACTGGAAGCAACGCTTAACTGATGTTACGTTATGTCGCAGTTGTGTTTATACGGGTAGCTTTGTACTTGACTGTCACGCACTTTACTTGCAGCACCTCATGTCCATAGAATAGAAAGCTGCAAAAGACGTCGAGCTTTTCCGGCACGCGTTACTAGTCCACTAATTCTATAGCTTGAAAGCGTTGACTACTTTGGAACACGTGATTACTTCAATGGGCAATAAAAAGAACAAAGTTAATGAGCAAAATTCGATGGTGAGGGTAACTGGTCGGGTGTTGTAAACTTTCATTGTATGCAAATGAGTGTTGTGATGGGAATGCGGTTTATTTTCAACGATGATTGAAATGACGCGCCATTTTCATCACGTTTCCTTGATTTCATTAAAAAGTACTGAAATATCCTGAAGACCGTCGATAAAGTAGGAATTGAAAAACTTTTAGCAAGGAAACCCTGTTTCGTGTAGAATTAATCGCCTCTTAGACTGCCAGCAGTCTCTAATTTTTCTTTTGAGCCACAGTAGGTCGAGAGCATAATTCTACTTTTTCGCTGGCCGCGCGTGGCTCTGAGGAAAGAAGGACGAACGCGCGCGGTCTAATTGCCTCCTCATTTCTTATCTTATCTCCAAGAAAGCGAGACTCAACGCTACTAAGAGAGTTCTTGTTTGTTAAAGACTACGCAACAATGGCGATGGTCATATTTCGAGCTTCGGCCATCTAAGTAGGAACAAGATATCTTTCTGGGATGTTCGTCCGGAAAATTGGATGAGAACGATTTAGTCAAGGCTTGAGTTTTATTTTACACCTAAAAGATACCATTCTTAGTTACACAGCCAAACAAAAGTTCTAGTAATGTCTCTATATATATATTAGAGATCCCGTTTCTGGCAGGTAGAGGTTTTTTCTTACGGATTTCTTTCATCGGCTGGACTGCTTCCTTTATTTCAAACATCCGTTCTACTCTTGGAATGTTATTTTGCAGTTCACAAGAGTAATAAAACGTATGGTTTTAAAAAATGAGTTTGTTTAGGGGTTTTATTTTGCTTTTTAACTGTTGGTTGGGTAAAAATCTATTTTGTAACATAGTTGCACGCGCGGAGTGACACGATGTATAAATCAAAACTTTGTGTTATGTACTGTATCACACGACAGCCATATTGAATGTTGATTTATTTTATCCCAAGATGCGTAGGGTACTTTCATGATAGCATACATGACACTTTGCACTTGGCAAGATGAAGTTTCTTTTTCTTTGTTTACTTAAAAGTATTTAATATTTAGTAGAATTACACTTTAAGCTAGACGTTCATTACTTACAGATACATTCTGAAATAATTTTTACTTGACAACGTGAAATTTCCCATTATTTGTGAAAAATGAATTTGCATGCCAGGAGAACTTCATTATGTATAAATAATGATTTTTCTACTGGCTTGCCTAACCTCCGATTATGTCAATACTTGTTGTTGTCGTTTTTTTAAAAAAAACGACATCGTCATCTTAAAAGATCTTGCCTCATCATCTTAAAAGTTGTCCTGTTTATAAATTTAGAGGCACTAATATGTAATATTTTTTGGCATTCATATTTATAAATATCTATACATGCAAGAAATAATGAGTTACATGTCACCCATATCTAAAAATCTGTCCGATATATAAATAGCGATTTACACATGACACTTTAAGAATAGTTTTTTCTCGGTTTACGAACAAATCTTCCAGCTATTTATAGACTCTTTATAAATAACAGAAAAGCTGTAAGGAGGCCCTGCCAGGGTAAATTCCGAAAAGCGACATGACCCAAAAAGTAGCGACAGAGCCTAAAACGAAATGGCGACAAGCGACAACCTCCCTCGACCAAATTGCGACAGTGACGGCAAAGCCGAGAATATGCGACAAAGAACGGTGGTTTGGCTGATTTATCATCAGTCGAAGTCCCAAGAAGAAGTAATTTTCGTCAATTTTCCTTGCGCTTCAGAGGTTGTCTCTCGTCAGGGAGTTTTAGTAGACCCTCCTGAGCGCGTCGCGTTGACCCGTCGCGTAGTCTTCATTTACGCAACCCCGCACAACTCCTGGGAGACCTTGGGACTAGGTTGTCCGTCAAATAGCTTAATTTACGCACGCTTTACATCTCTTGTAATCACTACTTTCATATAGACCATGACGCACCTTGTTTTCCCCCTCAGAATTTTGCATAACCAATGTTTCCAAATTCTCCAGGTTATTACAGTCGTCCCAAGAGAAATCGAAAACAATGGCTATGCAAAGCGGGGGGTAAACAAGGTGAATTATGGTCTATGTGAAAATGGTGAATACTTTGCTTCTTTCTGAACTTCTCATATCCTTGTCGACCTCTGTCGGACGGTGACGACGGTGGAGAGACCAGGGACCAGGTAACTTTAACAACGCACAGCGTAGACCACCGTTAACCGGCCTTCACGTACGATTTATCAGGTCAGTTAGTCTTAAAATGTTGAACGTGGATCACTTAGGGTGTGCTGACAGTGTTCCTTTCAGCGAATCCAAAAACGGATTTCTGATCCGAGATTTGCCGGATTTCGCGGTCCAAAGGAACGTGAAATCCGAAATTGGATTTGTGACCTTGGTAACCTTTCGCAAACGCGTGCAATATGCATGACAGCCTGAGCCTCTCAAGAAATGACATGTTTCCTACTGTTTGACAAATTATGCGATTATACCGCGCAGAATTTTGTGGTCGGCAGTTCGAATAACGACGATGGAACATAAACAGATCAAGAAAATAGCGTGTTAAAGTTGAAAATTATCTAAAGGTTGTCGGCTCAGTTTGATCCAGTTTCGTAGCTCGGTTTTCTATGTAACACGATCGAGTGCCTATCGCGTCCAAGAGCAAGTTTGTAGAAAGATAGCAGTTATTTGCCCCTTTTACTTATTTGTGTTTTTAAGCAATCTTTAGCGACAAATGGTCAGCACATGGACATTTTACTGTACCACCATGAACAATCTTTTAGTGTTTTCAGATGTTTTACGGCAAATGGCAGCAATTAGGAAACTCTACGGGAATACTTCAACTGGAAGTACAGCTGGATCATCTGACTAATTTCGAATCCACTGTGAATGGAACAGCGTAGATTACTAATCCGTTAATCTGGATTCGGATTCTTCGGATTTCAAATCCAATGTGAATCCTTTTTCAAAAAGGATTCACCAGATCAAAAATCCGAATTTGGATTTGCCGAAAGGAACGTGAAATCCGTTTTAAGATCCAAATCCGTTTCTGGATTCACCGAAAGGAACACACCCTTAATT